AATACAAAAAGTAGCCAGGCGTGGTGGTGTGTGCCTGTAATCCCAGCTACTCAGGAGGCTGAGGCAGAATCGCTTGAACTCGGAAGGTGGAGGTTGCAGTGAGCCGAGATCGCGCCGCTGCACTCCAGCCTGAGCGACAGAGCAAGACACCATCTTGAAGAAAAAAAAAAAAAAAAGAATTTCTGAGTGGGGGTGAGAAATATCCCTGAATATCTCTAGTCTCTTAGCTCATGTTTTTGAGAGCTTCACTTGATAATGACCATGGGAAGAATCTGGGGTGCAAAGTTCCATGTGCATTAGCCAAAATTATTCATTCAACTAGAAAGACAATTTTGCATCCACTAATACATAAAAATCAGAAATGAGAATTGGGAAAAAGCATATTCTTAGAATAAACATTTAGCATCCACCAAAGTGAAAGACATAGGTGTATGGCACAATTGAGACCTTAGTTGGAAAACCAAACCTTGGCACAGTGCCAATTATTTATCTTTTAATCTGGACATTTGAAATAGGTAGAGACCAACCAAAAAAGGAAAAAGTGTTGAAAAGTAGCTGCTCATATTTTACTGCCAATATTGCTCAACTTTAAAGAATATCACACCTAATTAACCGCAATACAATTGGGCATTCAGACTTGATTCTTAGATGAATTTCCAATAATTTTTAAATCATTGATCTGGCTTGGTAAATAACTCTCCAAACTTCTACAGCTAATGGAAAAATCACTTAACCTTTGCTAGAAGTGACAGAAAGCATTCAAGTTGAAACCTAATGCAGCAGTTCTTTCCATTAAGTTGAACTGCCTTAGCAGAAATCTTCCCATTGAGATACAGCCTTTATTTTTATTATTATATTTTTGGAGACAGGGTCTCACTCTGTCATCCAGACTGGACTCACGACTCACTGCAGCCTCGAACTCCCGGGTTCAACTGATCGTTCCAGCTCAGCCTCCTGAGCAGCTACAGGCATATGTCACCATACCCAGCTAATTTTTTTATTATTTTATTTTTCAGACTCGCTCTGTTGCCCAGGCCAGAGTGCAGTGGTGCAATCTCGGCTCACTGCAACCTTTGCCTGCTGGGTTCAAGCAATTCTCCTGCCTCGGCCTCCTGAGTAGCTGGGACTACAGGTGTGCACCACCACATCCAGCTAATTTTTTGTATTTTTAGTAGAGACGGGATTTCACCATGTTGGCCAGGCTGGTCTCACACTCCTGACCTTGTGATCGGCCCACCTTGGTCTCCCAAAGTGCTGGGATTACAGGCATGAGCCACTGTGCCCAGCCTATTTTTTTTTTTTTTTGTAGGGACAGGGTCTCGCTGTGTTGCCAGAGTTGGTCTTGAACTTCCTGGGCTCAAGTGATCCTCCCGCCTCAGCCTTCAAAAATGCTGGGATTACAGGTGTGTGGCACCGCACCTGGCCAGCTTTATTTTAAGGCACTAATAATAAAGGGTATGAAAAAAGCTAGGAATAAGTCAGATCTTTCCAGAAATAAAAGACAGTTAAAAAAAAAAAAAAAAACATCAGTTAACCTGTCTGGCCTATTTCAACATCTAAAGAGGACAGAGAACGTAAAAGTTTTCATGCCTCCATGACTCGGGTCTTTTCCATCCTCCCAAACACTTATTCCCATGTCTCAGATTCACGTTTCCTCAAAGGGCAGCAGAGATTTGGAAACAACAACACAACAAAACAACCCAAACAAGCAAGCCTAGTTTGTAGCCTCGTCTTACGATGGATGAATTCCCTAATGCTGGCATTTAGCCCCCATACTCAGAGGCCGGAACTGTAACAAGGTGTTCTTTTCTAGTGTTGTGAGGGGAAAATGTATAAGGGACATTAATTTTTCACAATCAGGTAAATAGAGTTTGTTAATAGCAAAACAGGAAATTCCGGAGAGAAAAAAAGATGACTCTGAAACATCAGTTCCAGCAGCATTTTCCTACACCTTCCAATGTATTCCATTTTGCCATGAGAAGAAAACTAACTAAATAAAATGGGGTTCAAGTCAGTTAGGTGAGCAAACACCAAAACACGAGTGATTTGATTGTGGAGGCAGGCATGATGGGGCAGGATTTCCCTCAAGTAGAAATGCTTCCTGTGCACACACACGCATACATGCACACACAAACCTGTACACTCATACTAATTTCAAAAGCATGGATGTGCGGAAAGCCCTGCCAGCATGACTAGATAATGAGGCGTTATCCCATCTGCCTGTGTCTCTACATAGGCTCTGACGTACATTCCACACCCACAGACACCCATGCACAAGGGCCAGTCTGGCTCGCACACAGACTGAGAAACAGATCCAGACTCCTAGAGCTTCTGCTTCCACAGGAATGATTAGTAACTGCAGGATTATACTTCCTGTTGATGTGCAGGGTTTTCGTCTTGCTCTTCTTTCCAGACATCTCCCCTTTCCAGGAGCACTAAATCTTAATTTAGTGGAGGGACTAATCTTGATTCTTCGGCGGGCATGACTTAGAACAGGAGCTACAGGAATTAAAACTAGCAACACTAGGGCCCCTTTGGGATTGGGGTGAAGAAGTATTTCAGGGTTTAAACAGTTTCCGGGGGTGGGGGGAAGCAGAGTTCTTGGCGGAAGTGGATGACCTCTGTGAAGGATATGAAAATGCCTACAAGTCCAGAAATCAATATAAACAAACTAACAACAACAACAAAAAGAACATAACTTAAAGGGGCTTCAACTAAATATCACTGCAACTGAGTTTGTTGACTCAAGAAATTCTGCTCTGACGCAGGGAACTGAAAGATAAGAACTGATACTATTTCTTCTTCGGAAGGCTCAGCTGGGAGTGCCGTGGCAGGTACTGAGGGTGGGACAGAGACAGAGGCTTGAGGCTCAGGTTTTGCTCCTAGGGTTTCTTGCCTGATTTTGAAGGGAAGGGTGCTAAAGCAAATGGATCAGCAGCTGGCAGCTCCGTAGTCCTGGAAGAAAGAGATGTGATAGAAACAGACCCAGCTATCGACTGCTTGTTGGTCTGTGAAACAATTTTGTAGGCAGCAATGGGCTGGGCTTCTGGACTTGGCTCATCTTCTGGGCTATAGTGACGGGAATACTTGGATAAGGACTGGGGGCGGAATGGTTTGCCAGCCACGGGGCCTGAGACAGCTTCTTTCTGGAGCTGAGGTCCTTTGTTTCTGTCATTAGGATGACCCCCAGATTCCAGGCAGGATCCCCTGGGAGAGATGCTGTCCAGATGGTCTGCTGCTTGCACAGAATGGGAGAGGAGGTTAGATTGTTGCACAAAACCAGCTGTGGAATACTGAGTTTGGACAGAGGTGTACACAGCTCTCTCACGGCCCGAGGGCACGGGGATGTCACCTGTCTGACCGAGGAGACCGGTCTGTGCAGGTAGCTCCTGGGAGGTGCTCTGGATAACTGTTAACTCGTCCATGCTTTTCTTCTTACTGAAAGGAGCTCTCAAAAACACGTCCGACTCCTCTGGCTGGGAAGGAGCCACACTGCTCTTGGAGACAAATGGGGCTTTGGAGAAAATGTCCATGTCATCATTTGGAAGCCTTGAGCTCCTAAAGGGAGCTATGGCAAAAACATCTGGCTCACTGAGCCCATCCGTGGCTGGCTGTGTGAGGGCTTGAAATTGGTTCTTTCTTCCACCTTGCACTGTCTTGGCTTGCTCAGTAGAGACCTCTGGTGGAGCAAATGCAACGGCTCCTCCCAGCTTCCCCTGGGGGGGCCTGCAGCTCTCATCTTCTTCTTCAGACTCCATAAGGAGAGGCCGAGACCCACTGCAGTCCAGCATATCTCCTTCAAGGTCAGTCCCTTCCTCTTCGCTACTGTGGAATGAGCTGTTGCTTGAAGGGCCATCTCTGGCCAAGTAGTCAGATTCTAAGTTGTTCTGAGTCTTTGTGCCAGGTACTCTGGAGGGGTCTGGATACAGGGGAAGGCCTTTAACGCCCAGTGATTCTTTAAAGTGCTCTACAGTTATTACAGGACAGGGACTGGACTCTCTCTGGAGACCTAGAAAAGCATAAAATGCAGAATTAATGTGTAGGTCAATTCAACTCTATTTGGAACATTTAATGGTCAACCCGCGGCAAAAACATCGTGGGACCAAATAATAGATGTTGAAAATGCAAAAGGAAAAACATAAAAATAAAAGTCAGGCAAGGAAACTGCACACAAACTGGAACACAACCAACCACTGTCTCACGTTTTGGAACACGATAGGCACGACGTACAGGAAAGGAGATGAAGATGTTAGGCACACAGACATTCAGCGTTAACTATGCAATGCTCCTACACACAGGGCCAGGCACGGACACCTGCTCTACCTGGCACTGGCTCATTATGGAATGAAAACAAACCCAGTCATTCATCTCCACATATACCATGACAGTTTTGGATTATGTAGAAACACTGTCTGGGGATGACTCGATTCAGAATCTGGCATGTGGCCATCTGCGCCACATGCAGAGGGACAAACTCTGAAAAGAAGCAGAATGTGGCTGCTTGATAAATGCAAGTTTACTTGATGACTTACATCATAAGCACTACTCAAAGAGCACAAGAGTGCCCAAAATATTAATACTGAAGGTACCTTCTGAGGGGAGCATACAGCATCAAAAGCAGACCAAATAAATCACCTTCAGCTGGAGTTGCCCCAGAATTTTGTTTTCAGTCTTCTAAGTTCATAAAGAGCTCCTCTGCTTAAATGAATCTGTCATAAAGTTATTTAAGCAGAAGGAGTAAAATGCATGGGTCATTACAGAAGCATTAGCAAACTCCAATATACTAGTCTATTTCTATCTAGGTAGAGGTGCCTCAGGGTGCTCTGGCTTTTAAAATCAAATAGACAATGATCAGAATGCAAGAGAGCTTACCTTCCAAGAAACATTAGCAGGTTAGAAGGATGCCATTGGGCACATGTTAGCAAGAGGGCAGGAAAAAGGCATATGTAACTAAGCAAGAAGAATCCAGAGAGAAGGTGGTTGGGGGTAAAGGTATCATTTCACCATGGGCTCAGTAAAGAGATACTACTGGAGTTGCCCAGCCCACCAGGATAAGAATATTAGATACAATGATTTGGAGCCATAGATGACCTAGAACCTCTGTAGAGATGGAACTCAATGATCCCCTTCCCATACTGACCCTCTCCCCTCCTATGCAAACCATTAGCTAGCAGAAATTTCTGCCAAAAATTATCCCCTGCTAAAGTTTCTGCTTGAATTAAGCACACAGACCACAGGAGAAGAGGCATTAAAATCAGTTTATTGGGAAACCAGTCACTTAAGAGACATTACATTGTAAAGAGAATGTAGAGAGAGGTCTGAACATTTTATAAGATACTGTACAAAAATACTATGTTTCTCTGAATCCTATAACTTTTTAGCAGTGCTTCTTTTTAAACAGTTCTGACCTTAAATATTGTTTTCAGAAACAAAACAAAAATGTGTTTGTCCTCCATTTTTATTTTCCTTTCTAACAGTTTGAATGCATTCAGTGGATTCCAGATTGGAGCGTTAAGTTAAATTCTGTACTTGTGCCAAATGGCTTTCTGAATAGTATTTGAAGAATAAGATTTTGAAGAGAATAAATTTTTACTTGCATTATAATTTTAATATGTGCAGTTACATGGTGATATGAAAGCATCAGCAGGAAATAAACAGAATACCTTCTCCCTTGCAATTTATGTGGACAGACATAATCCTAGTTTCTCAGGCAAGCATATTGATACTAGATTTGTCTCGGTGATACCAAGATGATAATTTCTGGGAGGAAATTCAAATAAAAGGGAGAAAAAGAAGTTTTCCAAAATAAGGTTTGCAGAGCCTTAAAGAAGGACAAAGAGGGCCCTAAAACTCCTTAAACCACCTTCCTCACATAGTATCCGTTGGACAAAGTTTTCAGTTGCCAAAACAAAAGCACAATTTCTCATCTTCCAAAACTACCTTGAAAGTTAATGTTATTAAGCTTGTTCTGCAGGAGAGCAAAATATCTCCTAGGAAAAAAAAATGGAAAACTTAGTCAAGCCAACGACCAACTCTGGCATCATACGGGTCAATAATCCAATGAACATTAGTTTGAACAGAATCAGTGCTTTTTGGAAATTTAAACTGAATTCAGTCAAAACAATCTGTGCACAGAGACCGGCAAAAAGCAGCTATCTATTGAACCAGGGGCACTTTGGATGCCTGAAGTGCTAGATCACGTTTTGAGAACTGGGAAGTACCAAGGGGTGTGTGTGTGCCCATATCCAGAGTTGGAGAGGATGGAAGAACATGTCTAACCCATCAAAATATTTGTTAAAAAGTAGGTTTTTGATCAAGAACCCACTTGGAAAACCTTCCAACTCAGAGCATATTCTATGACCTTCATGATGAGTAACGGGAAAATCAGACTTAAAATTCCAACAACTTTGAATAATTTACAAAAACAGTCACAAAAACACCAGAATATCAAGTTTGAAGGGAAAATTAGTCTCCTGTCCTTCAAAACAAGGACGAGAGCTATTTCCTATCTTTCTTTCAGCATCAACAGGCTTTGCAGGAATGTAAACGCACATTTAAAGGGTTCTCCTGAGAAGGCCAAGTCCCTTAACCTTTCTATTCTTGTTAGAGGAGGGATGGTGTGGCCGAGGCGGACAGCAATCACACTGTGCAACTCTCCGAGCCTGGCACTCTGAAGGGCAAAGAAATGCCAGAGAATATGGGGGAAACCCAGACCTCCACATTCCCTTAAGGAATTCTGGTGGTGGTAGCACCAGAAACAAGGTAGTCAAGAGATAGGAGAAATTCCAAATAGAAACAGAAGGTAACTATTAAATCTTGTTGGCAGATGAAAGTCTTTGAGTACGTGAATGTGTTCTTACAGGGAAAATGTGTTTTCAGGATGAACAGTTCCTTTATATGAAGGTAGCATTGTGCCAACAAGGAAATGTGTTTGAAGCAGTCTCTCTACTAGCATTGAAGGATTTATACTAACCTAACCACATGCCTTGGCCCAGTTCCTTTGGTAACCAATGGCATGTCACAGCAGATACCCTGTGGCCACAGAGCTCAGTAAACACTGCCTGTTGCACCTCAGGGGCGAAAGCCCAGGGCCTGGCTTCATAGTCTGCACAGGGTCTTACTTATCATGGAGCCTAAGGTAGGGTTTTGTTATAATTCCCTCAAACTGGGTCATGCCTCTTTTTATTTTGGTTTCACACATAAAATTAAGCAAGAAGTTAAAACACACTTCTTTTTCTTGCTCTGATGTAGGACTGTGTGCCAGGTTAGGGATGCTGACACGTTCAATATGGGTAAGTCCATATTAGTCTATTTTGAGGCTCCAAATTATATAGATTTCAGCAAGAACTCACATGCTTCAGGGAAGAGAAGGAGTTCCTAAAATACCTGATGACTTGGCAACTATCCTCACCAGCTCCCTATTCACTTCCAAAGCAACCCAAAGTGCTGAATCATTTAGGATGGGTTTCCCCTGGAAATTCCATCTGACTGACATAGTGAAGGTCATCAGAATGCTCCCTACAGAATCAAAGTCTGAAGACTTAAATGTCAGGCTGGATATTCCTTAATGAAATACATCACGCACAACCGGAAGTTTACTTTTCCTCATACCAAAATCTGAAATAACAGTTACAGGGAGTATCAAAGATATAATTCTTGCCAAAAACAGAAAATGAAGACTTGGAGTATTGAGAAGAAGCCTTCTCATATGTTGTTAGTAAACAGAAAGCAAACTATCCCTTCATAAGAACTTGGAAATGCAGCAGCAATTGAAACTTAAAATCTCAGAACCAACACTAGGGAAATCAAGAGACATACATCAAACTAATAATTACCATGACCTTCTAGCTCACATAATAAAATTAAGCATTTGGTTCCACCATAAATTGGGTAGCTGTGTTAAAACCCACGACTGGGAAATGAGGGCCCTGATGGAAGCCAAAAATGGCCAGCTGTGCCTCTCAGGCCAATGAGGCAATTAAATGAGTGAGCTTTCTCATTGGGGATAAAATTAATCTTGCCAACACAAAATGTTTAATTAAGTTGGCCTGGGTATATTAGGGATTAAGTTAGAGGAGGAAGCTGCAAGCCTGTGCTCCATTTTACAACCCTGTGTCTGGACATATCCAGCGTAGGCTGGCAGGCGTCTTATTCTCCTTGACCACAGGAGTTTTATTCTCTCGGGTAGCCATGATTCATTAATATGTCCTCAGTGTGTAGCTATACTTTTCCTGTGCCCAGGTACTTATATTCACTCAATACTGTGATTAAATCCTTTCTGCAAAAAAGTGGGTTTTCAGCTCAGGAAAAGAGCAACTTATTTTATTTACATCTCTAAACATCATTCTCCCATTTGAACAGATAAAAGTCTTTATTTTCCCTGTATGTTTACATAAGAAATTTCTTTACAGACTTTTTTTTAAAAATACAATACTTGTGCAGCAATGTTCAAATTTCACATTTTTACTGCGTATCTTCATGTACAACTGTCTGCTTTGTCGTCTTGGGAAGGACGGGTTAAAGACCTATGATAAATACACATCTACATGACAAAGGAGAGTGCAGGGCAGAGTAGAATACTCACAGGAAAAGAGTAAATTCAGGACACTATATGAAAGTGTGAACCAAGAAAGTGTCTTTCATTCTAGCAACTACCACCATCTGGTAACTTCTTTGCATAGGTTAGCATTACCCAAGGAGCCTCCCTATCCCTTATTAATGAAAGGAAATCTGGGAGAAGCAAAAGAGTTTTCTTGTTATATATTTTCTGGGACTCATTCTGATTTAAGAAACCTAAGCACGTCCAACTTCAGAAACCTTACTAGTGTGGAAAAAGAAAAGGCTGACTTTGTGTTGATAAAATTATAGCCTTTAGAGAGGAATGAAAGATAGTGTTGCAGTATCTGGAGTGTTTCAGGAAAGATTCCATTCTAAATATTCATGTGATAGTTTTTCTGTTCTGCCAGGCAGCCTCTAACTTGCTTAACCCAGCACACTGGGCAATCCTATCATTTTCATCCCAAAGCTCAAAGTTAGTGGCTATGGGAGCCTGATAATCTTACAGACTGAGAAGGTTAAGGACTCTGGGAAATCACAGAAAAATCTTATCAAGAGAGACTGTATTTTGACCCAAGGTATCTATAGCATGTATTTATTCAGCTGAGTGCAGATCCCTCCACATCACAGGCTGTCAGCCCCAGAGATCCCTTCATTCCCATAGCACTGCCGAAGGCAGAACTGTTCCTGACCTGGGGAAGGTTATACTGGTTGATCAATTATCTGTCAGGAGAGTAGGAAATAAGTATTCAAAACAAACAAAAGTATTAACAACAAAACAAATATTACATCTTGAGAAAAGTAGGTTCGTTTCTTGGGTTTGTTTTTCCACAAGTATTAGCAATCCAAGTTCTGTAATTCTAATTCAGGAAAAGTAAAGTCCAATATCAAATAACACTGAACAAAGTGACAACTTCTTTCAGAGGTGTTTTAATACCCATATCTTTCCATTTTTTAAACCATTCTAAAGACTAGGGAATCACAGAAGTTTCCTTATTCAGAAAATTAAAGAAATTAAGTCTTAATCATGTTCACTTTCTATTATAAGGTCCTCTCTGAGAATTTTTTGTGGATTATTCTTTTTTACCGTCTTCAACAGTAACCATTCTTCATCTTACAGGGTTGAATTTGCTTTCTGGAAATGGTTAAATGTTACTCAGAACCAAGAGTAGTAGAAAAAGTAGATAAAGAATGAATACACTTTCAGATGCTTTCTCAAAGTTATACTAATTAAATAATATAACTGATTTTCTTATACCTTATTACCTTCCTTGATATTATTTCTAAGGAGAGGAGTTTCAAAAATAACTTTAAGGATGGCAGCATCATTAGAATAAGTATTAACTTCTTAAGTAAAACTAGATGACATAAGTAAAACTAGTGTCCACTTACTTAAGAAGTTTACTTAACTTCTTAAGTAAAACTAGTGTCCACTTAAGTCTTATCTCCTCTGAGGTATGTATTTTTGAAAACATTGGGACTCATTTGAATGTTGTAAAGGGAAAAATCAATTTGTGATGTTTTCTGCTATAGTTATTCCTCTTACATAGCTGGAATAAAAGCAAATCAGAAACATATGCTTATAGCATTTGCCCGTTTTAAACTGGTAGATCCCTGATTATACATTTAAAAAGAAATCTTCTGATACCATTTTATTAGAATAGGTAGGTGTGTGTGGACGCATGTGTTTCTGTAATACTTAAAAAGGAAAATCTCTAAGACTATGATTTAGGCTTCTATTCAGATATCAAGAGAAAGCAAGTTAGTAAAAGCCCATTATAATTCTTTAAAATGTAAACACTGCTGCCATAATAGCAGGAACTACAGAAAATAACTGAAGAACATCAGGATTATATAAATCCTTCATAGCCCTTCTAAACATAATAATATATACTTAGGTCCCTATACTTCTATAATCTTAAAGACCATCTAGTCCAAACCCATTGTATAACTCTAAGGAACAGCAGCTCTGAGAGGTGAAGTGCCTGCTGAAGGTCACTCAGCCAGTGGCTGGCAAGGGCCAGGATGAGATCCCAGGTGGCCTGTCCTGCCCAGGCCTCTTCTCCCCCGACCCTGTTCAATCCAGTTCAGGTCCCACACCTGTAAAATGAAGAGGATGGTGGACTAGAGGATGGTCTCAAAGGTCCCTTAGTAGCTCAGGCTATGATTCCACAGGTACTAGGACACTATGCTCAACTCTAAGAAACTCTTTTAGCTCAGGGATGATGCTCTAAACCAAGGAAGGCTCCGTTTACCAAAGCACTCATATGTGTTCCTTAACAGAAAAACAGTTCTCCCCTTTGAGGAGGCCTTACTCTAAATAAGCCCAAGATGATTTCTTGTCATTATCTCCCTCAGGCTTCTACTACCGTCTCTGGCTTCTAGTCTGCTCATTTTCATTAACTGCCTCCATTAAGCTTTACTGAGTCAAATGACTAGATAATATATCTCAATGTAATCATGGGTAATGCATGAAAAGAACAATTTAGAGATACCTAATTTCTAAACTGTATTCTTCATAGTTTCAATTAAATTGAGAAACTAGATATTTCATTATATTTCTAACATGTATATATGAAAAAAATCAAATATGAAAACATAGAACTCAAACATTATTCTTATTTAAAAATAAACATTTCCTTCATTAATTTATACATTCTTTCTATGTCCAGGAAAGAGAATACAATTCTGACCTGCAGCAATTTTCCTGTCCATAAAGGGGTAAACCAAGTCCTATTTTCACTGCTATCCAACCACAGAGAGCCCTTCGTGGATATCTTTTGCTTTTTAATCCTCGGCAGGAAGCTTGTGCCTCTCTCAGTTTTAGAAATGATCTGTTATCATCTAGAGGCCTTTACCTAGCTCATCTTGTTTCAGCCAGCATGGGAAGTATTCATAGACAGAAGGAAGGCTGGAAGATTCAGACTTTTCCTCCAATGCCTTTCAAAGGCTGCTCGCACATTCCTAGGGTCAAACCTTGCCCTCCAGAATGCAGTGTTTTATACTGTTGTCGCTGTTAAACTTTTTCCCCCCTTAAAGTGCAAACATGAGGAAGAAGAAACAAAAGTACTAGATAGCAAAACAAGCAAATGGACTTGGAATTTTATTTGTACAAATCTGATTAACTGAGAGTTTCCCTTTTGATGATGGACAATGGCACTAGAGGAAGAGAACAAGACTGGGGTTCCCTGTGCCCACTTCTTTTCAAAAGGGTGATGTTATAAAAGTGCTTTCCACATAAGGAAATAAAATACACTTTAATGAGTAAGTGGTGAGCAATGGATAATACAGAGGGTGACCATGAGGCATGTTGTCATGTTAGTGCAGGGGCCTTTATTTATTTTACGAACAATATCCTAAAGTTAATAAAGAACTATGCTTTGTTTTATAATTATTTTTTTAATCTAGGAAGCCAAGGAAAACCAACTGAACATATTCCATTGGCTGCAGCCTTCAATTTAAACATCAGAAAGAAAGGTAAGCTGGGCACACCCAGATTGTGTCCAGCTTGTCAGCACACTTATTTCCGATTATTTGAAAATAAACAACATGCTTATTCTAGAGACAGAGGACCTGCTGAAAGCTTATAGCAACACACAAGTCTATTCAAAATGATTCCATATGTTACACTGTAGGATTGCTGTGTAGTTATACAAGGGGAAGAGATCAAAACCCTGTACAGACACCTGATATCAGACTTGAAATGCCAAGTGGAAACAGAACTATTCAGCATCTTCATTTATACACAATTTACAATATTTGATTCAAAATAAAAATCACAAGAAAAATACATCTGTTTCTGCTACAATTCCTTCCCCTCCCCATCCTCCCCCCACCCCCGCCCCAGTGAAAAGTCTTCTAATAAAAGGTATCATATTACCACCACTGTCTTGTTTTGGTCTAATTCTGAGATCCCACTTGGAACAGTTAACATGAAAAGGAATGGCAATACTTGGGATTTATGTAACGTACACATTTTATCCAAGGATCTCAAGTACTTGCAGTCACGTCTCCAGATCTGAGAAATCACGGTTCAATGGAAGCCAGAAAGCTGGACGAATGCTGGGCAGGTTGCATGGGGTGTAAAATCCCTTGGCTAAGTCTATGATCAAACAAGGTCAAAGTTGGTTGGCTAGAGCTGGGCTCAATTTCTCTTCTCAAATGTATACTACCAGTCAGTAAGTTTTACCCTTTCTTAAACCACACACCCATCTCCAGGCTAGTGCCTAGAGTTAAGACCAACTGAAGTAGCCATGTCCTCATGATAATGCATCAGGATAAAAAGCAAAAACAGGGAAATACATTCATCAGCATCTGGCCAAAGGAGACAGGGGTTGGGAGAATTGATTTGGGAGGCCATTCCTAGCAAGAACGAGACAAAAATGTCAATTCACTAGTTTCAGTTACAGTTAAGCTTTTGGTGGAGTCGATTCCAGCAGAGGTGAAGCTCATGGCATCTAGCGCTTGATTTAAGATAATGCTATTGAAGAAGGGTAATGAGAAAACACAGCAAACTAACAAGGAGGAACTGGCCAAGGAATATCTGGAGGGCCAAAGTGATTTTCTTTCCTTATCATTTCTACAGGAGAAGGCAAGGGGTAGGAGAAAAGGGCTGGAGGGCCCCTTATTTGCAGATTTTTTTTTAAAAAAATCATTTTTTTCATAACTCCGTAATGAAAATGTATTTTACGGTATGAAGGTTACAGAACTGCATCTGCTACTGGGTCACGGCTACAGGTCTATGAGCTGATCCACCAGCAGTAAAGACCTGGCTAGGTTGGGAAGACTGGACTCAGAGCTCCCACTGCTGTTTCTAGAGTGCCCACCTGGAAGTGGAGAGATAGGAATTCAGTACAAAACATAGAGGGTTAAAGGTTTAGATGTGCAGAGCAAGCAAAGAAGAAAAACCAAACCAAAACCAAAACCAAAACAAAAACAAAAAACAAAAAAATCAAACCCTAGAGAAGCAATAGTTTACATTTGCAAACCCTTACATGTTGATTTTGAAACACATACGTTAGCTGTCCACCACCTCCCACCAAAAGCTCAGGCACTCTGTGCACACCACAGTATAGGCAGGACATCTTGCAAAGAGTCCTTGCAAAAGTATTTTCAAATCAATACTTTTTTTTTGGTTGAGAATTGCTGGCTATATACTAACTTCCTGATAATATGAAGCCATCTCCCTTTGACAAAGTAAAAATCAATAATTTTTGCTTTGGGGAGAAACTAGTTATTAAGATACTGCAATAAGAACATGCTTTAAAAAATAAATAGATGGTCCTATGGCAGTTTAGTGTTTTATGGCATGTTCAAATGATTTTCATCCATCAAAGTTGAAAAAGGATGCTCCATGAATGTCAGAAAGATGTGAATGATACCAAAACACAGCTGTTAATCTCTTTGGGAAAAATATTTATTACGGATTATTCTAATCATGATAAAAAATGTGATGTGCTTTTGATATATACCTTCAGGTTTCCACTGACTGAAGATCATTTTGCTTTTGGCTTCATGGTAAAAACTAACTTTTGGCCAACTGTTAAATACTTCTCTCTAAATAAACACCACGGTCAAACTTTAAAGATACCTATCTCTATCTATCTATACTGGTCCAGCCTACAATGATTCTCATTACTCCCAATGTCCTTCATTAAATGTTGATGCTTTTCTTCCCCCTTGCAGATTAGGTGCATGACTATTTTGAAGAGAACTGAGGCCAAGCTCTTCTCTTTTCCCCATCCTCTTTCTTACCTTGTGGGTTTTTGGTTATCAATACAGGAATAGGGTCAAACTCATCTTCAGCCACCTTGTCCGAGCCCTCAGGGACATCAAAACCTGAGATGAGATTACTATCTTCTGCAGCTTAATACAGAATGCAAGTACACAAGCAGAAACAACAGAGGTAGAGATTAGCAAATGAGAGAATGCGAAAGAGGCACAAAGATCTCAACTGTACAGCCCTGTTATTTCCAAAGGTGAAAGTACTCATCTTTCTGAGTTGAAATAAAAGTAGCAAAACTGGAAAATACAGAGATATAGAAAAAAATGCTTTAGAGTTGGTCATGTTAAGACTTTTATAAATGATTAGGGAGAAGGGTTCTTGGAAGAATTCTAATATTTATAAGGCATTAATTATAATTATTGTGAGGTATCTCTTCAATGTCACTAATCCACAAAGGCATAGGAATAAGTCACTTGTCTTCACTGAGGGAACAGAGGCCTAACAATATTCGAAAAACTCAAAACTGGGACAGCGGCAGGGGCGGGGGAGGAGGAAGAGAATTGGTGGCTCTCTAAGAAGTAACCACTGTCTACAAGGCAAACAAAATACTGCTGGAAGGACTCACTGCACTGTGACTGGGAAAAAAAGACATTGAAACAACTCAGCCGCCTCAGGGAATGTTGAGGCACAAGATTACACATACTGAGGCCTCAAGTAGAAGGTTTGTTAGAATAGTCTTCTCCATTCTAATTAAAGCTATCCTACCCGCAAGCAAGTGCTAGCTGAGCACCTATTTTGCAAATGATGCTTCTCTGTAATTCTACATTGCTGCTGACACACTCCTGCCAGACATCACTGTCTAAATAGGTAACTTCCCTCTACATCATCTATAAAAACATAATCATTTTAATGTTATCAGGGGTAAAAACAAAAACTCAGCTATTACCATTGCAAACCACAGGGGTGATTATTTTTAGTCATCCTGGGGAGTCTTCCTTCTTGAATTTTCTCCTGAAGGGACTTAAGCTCTTCCTTTTCTATGCATTTTCTCTTTCCAGAAGACTATTTTCCCTACCCAATCACCGAAAGTTTGGTAACAAAGTAAGCCAGGCATTGAGCCTGATACTGTCACAAACTACTCATTGAATAGAATCTGATTCAAGCTACCTCTGTCCAGCAGGATTTCAGACCACTATTAACCCAAGACTAAAAAATGAAAATGGTAGATTAGAAAGAGAAATCCAGTAACCAATCATGACTTGAAGGTGAACTTCTACAAGTTCAAACTTACAGGACTGACTTTTGAGGAAAGATGCTTATTTCTTTATTGCAGTCATCACTATGCAATAACTTTGAATCAGATATGATAAAACCATTTTACATCTAAGGCCAACAAGCATCATATTGATCATTATAAGCAGATAGTAGATAGTCACATCAACCGTCTACTTGAATTGATTGCAAAGGTACCTAGCTTTTAAAGGTAACACGGAATATCTGCATTCTATGTTCTTGCCAGAAAGCAATACTTTCACCAATCTGTTGTCTAGGTCTTTTTTTAGATTTAATTTTATTTATTTTTAGTACCTGTCTGCTATTTTTTTTTTTTTTTTTAAGACAGAGTCTTGCTCTGCTGCCCAGGCTGGAGTACAGTGGTATAATCATGGCTCACTGCAGCTTTGCCCTCCTGGCCTCAAGCAATCATCCTACCTCAGCCTCCCGAGAAGCTGGTACCATCGGTGCATGCTGCCATGGCTGGCTAATTAAAACATTTTTTTGTAGAGACTGAGACTCTGTATGTTGTCCAGGCTGGTCTCAAATTCCTGGGCTCAAGTGATCCTCCCACCTCAGCCTCCCAAAGTGCTGGGATTGCAGGCCTGAGCTACCATACCTGGCCTATTGTCTAAGTCTTAGTAAATATTCTCACTGAGAGGTATTATAACACAGTATGTAGGAGTACAAACTCAAGTTTTCCATAGAAGGAGGTAGTTTTAAAACTTCACTAGTAAAGACTTTTGATAAGAAAAACTCTCAAAAGTTGTTTAGTTCTTTCCCCTCTAAGGACACATGCGGGCCTGAGAAGAAGAAAGCATTTACCTTTATGGACTGGAGCAGAGATTGCTGTGGGGGCAAACTCTTCCAGAAGGTCAGTAGTAGGGTTAGAGAGCAGAGAACAGTCAAGCAGGGAATCTTCCCCGGTGAGAGAATCTGAGTCCAGATTCACAGCATCCCAGGTCAGTGATGGCATTAAGTGGCACACACAACAATATCGTGAGATTAGATCTTAGCCTTTAAGTTACTGCATTTACACATTACACATACAAGCCAAGGTGGGAGAAAGAAAACCAAAAGAAATCTGGGAAGCCTTCTGGATTTTCATCTACAGAAACATGTCTTTCTAGATTCCTCTTAACATTAATATAGAAATAGAGGAAAATTTTTTGCTCAGAGGTTGCTGGTTAAACAGGTCTGTGATTTGGATGCTGAGCTAACTTTAGCACCTCAGTTCTTAGTGAATGCCATTTGGGAGAAAAAACTTTACAATTAGACTTTCACTTAAAGTTTCCCTAAACACTCAATGAAAGAAGTTACCATAGGACGAAGTATCCAAACTGATTAGGAGAGGGTTGCCTCTGGCTTATTATTAGCAGAATGCGACAAGATTAAACAGTACCTTCTAGAACCAGGTTCCCACCCACAATGCCTCTTACTAGTATTCTTTACATTGAAATTGGCCCTTTGAACATGATTTTGATTTCAGAAAACCAAGACAAAAACTCAAAGTATTTTTTTTTTTTTTTGAGATGCAGTCTGGCTGTGTCCCCCAGGCTGGAGTGCAGTGGGGCGATCTTGGCTCACCGCAACCTCTGCCTCTGGGTTCAAGTGATTCTCCTGCCTCAGCCTCTTGAGTAGCTGGGATTACAGGCATGCGCCACCACACCCGGCTAACTTTGTATTTTTAGTGGAGACGGGGTTTCTCCATGTTGGTCAGGCTGGTCTCAAACTCCTGACCTCAGGTGATCCACCCACCTCAGTCTCCCAAAGCGCTGGGATTACAGGTGTGAGCCACCACACCCGGCCTGAGTTTAAGCATTTTAACACAGGGATTGTTTTCTGAGAAAGTTTTCTAGGAGAAAACATTCAAATGAGAACAAGGAAAACAAATCATATTGTCTTTGGAGGTATTTTTTTTTTCACCTGCATGAATTTATCCACACGTTTCCTAGGCTTCTAATTGTTTCTATCCAAGTTTGAAAACCAGATACTTTTATCAAGGGAATTATGGACCCAAAAATAAAAAAAAGGTTACCAAATCTGTATTTGTGGGCAGTTAAGAAATTCTATTAAGACTGTAAGACTGAATTTTGAAATCAGGGTACAAGCAATATTAGATCTAGGGAAGACTTCAACTTTGCCTACAATTTAATAGCAAATTACCTATACAAGATTAAAGCACTATGCTGGGAACAGAACATCAGTATATAGAGGATGAGCTCCATGGCCATCACTGACATTGGTAGACTGGAAAGATGCACAGCAATCTGGAGGGTTAAGGGTGTCCTTACAGCTCGGTGGAGTTCTTTAATTAAGGACATAGAGGGATCCCGCCACCAGTGAAAAGAATCTTGAATAAAGAAATACTGTAACCAGAGAAAGCCCAGAGATTACTCCACAGAGAACATGGCTCCAAAAAATACTCGGTTCTTTAGCAAGGAAATATATCCCTCAACATCTAGAAGCTGGGGCTGTAACAATTCAGAGTGCCCATTTCAGCAGGAAGTACCTGGGCTGCAAAAGAAGCCCGGGATCGATCGAGTCACGTGAAAAGACTGGCTCAAAGGTTCACCGCACCGACCAGTCCCTGCAGCTGCAGAGACCCCTGACTGACCTGTGCGATTCGAGGTCACAGATTCCGTCTGAGATGGGAGGCGCTGGGGAACTGGGGGCTCCAGTCCTGGGATGAGACTCTCAACAGCAACGTCAGCTTTTTCTTTCGTAACAGAGCATTAAGAAGAGGAAAGGGTAAGGGAAAGGGAGTCAGAAGTTTCTTTAGGAAATTCTGTGAAGCTTTCTTCTTTTTTCAAATTCTCATTTTTTGAGATGGTGTCTCGCTCCTGAGCTCAAGCGCTCTCTCCCACCTTGGCCTCCAAAGTCCTGGGATTGCAAGCGTGAGCCACAGCACCCAGCCATGTGAAGGCTTTCTTTTAACAGGTCTCTAAAATGCCAGTCTCAGGCAAGGTGGAAAGAACAGTAAGTTCCTTTATTTCTGCTGCTCTGAATGTCTAGGCTTCACTGAGCATGCGTGTGCAAGGCGAAACACTGCGGCCAGTCTCACTGATGATCAGTTCTCATAAACAAATTCGGAACGTAAGCCGCTCAGCAAGCCTCTTCCATGTCAGAAGAGATGGGTTGAAAGGTACCTTAATTTTTTCTGGTAATTTCACTTTTATTAAGGGATAAACCTGGGGGCAAATATCCTCTGTGCCATGTGAAGGCCATTAATCCATCTCAAACCCCATCCCAGGATGTAGCTGGGAGGCCTTTTACACCATGTGACACCCCTCAGCTGCAGGCCTACCTCTATGCAAGGTCATGGCACTTCTGAGTTCTAGGACTTTCTGCCCAAAGGCATTATTAGGTGTCTCATGATTGGGCCCTCCTGAAGTACAGGGGCCTTGAACATTTTGCAAATTTGGCCTGCCTTGCTGTTGGAACACAGGGAAATGTGAGACAGGAAGCAGACCGAGCCCCTGCCCTGGATTCTATTTATGGGGCTTAACCAGTGGGCAAAATGTTTTCTCAGTTACTGATACTTGGTATATACACGGACCTTATAACATTTTTAAAATTTTGTTTAAGATGGGTCTCTGTCACCTAAGCTGGTGGGCAGTGGCATGATCAGGGCTCACTTCAGCCTCAAACCCCCTGGTTCAAAGCGATCTTCTGTCTCAGCCTCCCAAAGAGCTGGTAGCACAGGTGTGCGCCCCCAACCCTGGCTAATTAACATTTTTTTTTTTTTTTTTTGTAGAGATAGGGTCTTCCTATGTTTCCCAGGCTGGTCCCACTGCAGCTGGATGTACATGGGCCTTCTAAAGAAGAATCTGGGCTGGGCATGGTGGCTCACCCCTGTAATCCCAGCACTTTGGGAGGCTGAGGTGGGTGGATCACCTGAGGTCGGGAGTTTGAGACCAGCCTGACCAACATGGAGAAACCCTGTCTCTATTAAAAATATAAAAAGTAGCTGGGCGTGGTGGTGCAAGCCTGTAAGCCCAGCTACTCGGGAGGCTGAGGCAGGAGAATCGCTTGAACCTGGGAGGCAGAGGTTGCGGTGAGCCGATATCACGCCACTGCACTCCAGCCTGGGCAACAAGAACGAAACTCTCTCTCAAAAAATAAAAATAAAAAATAAAAATAAAAAAAGAAGAAGAATCTGCTAAATTTCATTAAGTTCAGCAAAGGTAAAGTCTAGTTAGAAACCAACTTTTTAAAGTTTTTCTAACTACATGTGAAACTTTTCACATTCCTCCTCATTCATAAGAGATCCACTTTAGAAATCTTAAGGTATTAAGAAAGGCAAAAAATAGACGCTGTACCCCTGAAAAGCAAGGAAAACACTTCATTTGGAGTGATACAAGTGAGATTAAATAGCTTTGGCTTCTGGGGTGGCAGGGCTATTCCCTGGGGACTGGTTAACTAGGTACTTGTCATTCTTGAAACAGGCACACATATCATGCATGACTGAAGAAACAGAGATGATGACTTTACCAATTACAGCATCGGAAGTGCTACCAAAAGGATCTGTCATAGGCAAGAGGTCAGGGAGCAGAAGAGAAGTGTCAGGAGATTTGAGTCCCTCAATTAGTTTTTCTAAGTTGGGCAGAGAGACAAAAAGAAAGCAAAAATGTAATGAGATATTAAAGCCAGCGGATCATTCACTATTCTCTATGCAAACACATTTTAGGGGGGGTCAATATTTGGTATAGATTCACCATAAAAATTAATGCTATTAATATCTTAACAACAGGCTCTCAAAATTGGAAGTTTAAAAATGATTACTTCCTCAAGTGAAGTAGTCACTTTGTAAGGCATTCCAGATGCTGCCCTGGCTGTGTCTGCTTGTTTTTATTTGAGGTGTAATTTGCATATAATAAAAGTCACCCATTTTAAGTGTACAATGTGGTTAGTTTGGACAAATGTATACATTCATATCATTACCACTGAAATGATACAGAACATTTCCAAAACCTGAGAAAATTCCTTCATACCCCTTTACAGTCAGTGCCTTCCTCTCACCACAGACCCTGGTAACATTTTACAGATCTGCTTTCTGTCCCTACAGCTTTGCCTTCTAAAGAATTTCCAGTAAGTGGAACCATAGAGTATGTAGTCTTTTGAGTGTGGTTTCCTTTCTGTGGCATAATGCCTTTGAGATGAAATTCATCTGTGTGGTCGCAAGTATCAATAGTTTGCTCTGTTTTTCTGCTGGGTCCTGTTCCATTGTATGGCTGTACCACACTTTGTTGATCCATTCACCAACTGATAAACATTTGGTTGTTTCCAGTTTTTAAGCTAGTAAAAATAAAGCTGCCATAAACATCTGCATATAAATATTTGTACGTTCATTTTCCTTCCTGGGCTTAGTTTTGAATCTCTCTCTCTTTTGGGGGGTTGGGGGGGACTTTATTTAGAAACAGTTTATAACTCACCAAGACAATCAATTCAACCACACCTAAGTTGACTTCAACGATCATTTATTGTCTGCCAACTGTGCACCTGTGACATGCTGGCAGTCATATTATTCCATGGTCAAATCTCACAAAATTCACTTAAGCCTGAAAATGGATTACTCTTGATGTCTTCTGGCCAAGAAATAAAAGGACGCCAGAGCCACCAGACTTGTCACACCTGGTAACTTAAAATGATTCTTCTAGCCCTGATCCATCAAGAACCCTCTATTTACCTTTAAGCTATTAAAGGTAAAGCATTAACTTGAAACAAAATAATGAATCATAGAATCTTACAGGAGGAAGGGAATTTAGAGCTCATATTTCCTGTTAAGAGGAGACTTAGATCACATAAATTCTGTAACTTGCCCAATGAAAGGCATGTCAACAATGTTCTTTTAAACCATGGAAATGTCATTAAGATAACTAAAATGAAAATGTTTGCTTGAGAAAAAGAAGTGACTTAAAGTCCAAGAACGTGTATATAACGTTGTAATAAATCTGTATTCTTCTAGGCCATTTGGGAATTGAGATAAGCAAGAAATAAATTGATATTCATGGAAAAACAGGAACCAAATTTTAGGTGATCTTCAATTTAGGTGATCTGTAACTACACAGGTCAAACAAAAGAATGGATTTCAGAATCTTGGCAAGATATTTGCTTTAGTATAATTAACACACTGCAGAAAAAGACTTACATGTAAAGCCAATTCACCCTCTCTGGAGTCTATGGAATGTAGGTAACTTTGAATTAAATGACAATAAGCTACATTTCTCATTTATACCTCGTTTATATTTTTAAAACAAGAAAGGACAGCTGGGAGCAGTGGCTCACGCCTGTAATCCCAGCACTTTGGGAGGCCGAAGTGGACGGATCACCTGAGGACAGGAGTTCGAGACCAGCCTGGCCAACATGGGGAAATCCACGTCTCTACTAAAAATACAAAAATTAGCCAGGCATGGTGGCACATGCCTGAAGTCCCAGCTACTCAGGAGGCTGAGGCAGGAGAATTGCTTGAACTCAGGAGGCGGAGGCTGCAGTGAGCCAAGATTGTGCCATTGCACTCCAGCCTGGGTGACAGAGTGAGACTCTGTCTCAAAAAAATAAAATAAAATAATAAATAAAAATGAAAAAAGGAAGGAAGAAAAAAGGAAGCTTTTCAGTTGCAGGAAAAAACCCTCACAGGGCACTAACCAAGTACACAAGTATAATTATATTAGCATTAACCTTACACTGTATATGACATTATAAGATGTGAAAAATATCTCTAATAATTTTCAGCATACTGGTAAAAATAAGATGGTTTCCCTAAAACGTCTAACTTTGCATTGTTCCAAACACTAGTTTTTGCTTCATTCCTCTCTCCTCAAAAAACTATCACTTAAAAAAATGAAATGATTTGCTTCTTTTAACTTAGCACTTACATATTTGCAATCTTGGAAAGCAATGGATAAAAAGTAAAGACCCAAAATTATTTGCTTGTCTTTCATACAGCAGTTTATCTTGGTGCAAAACCTCAGGCTAGCATTCTTTCAGATTCTGAATTCTAGCCTCTCTGGTGACATGTTGTGACTCTGGCACAGTTCCTTAACCTTCTGACATTATCTCCTCATCTGTAAAATGGAGATGCCTCCCCCTACTTTTTTGTACTTGTCACTCAATACCATCTCCTCTAAGCTTTTCCCCACCTTCCTGCCACATCAGGAATCTTCTGGGGCATCCTGCACTCAATTCTCTTGCAGCCCTTAAACATGACTGAAGGTAGGGAAGGGTCTTACGAACCTTTGTATCCCAGTTCTTGGTTTCCCCTCAGATGCCCTGCCACATCTATGCCGTTTGGCTTGACTGGGGAGGTGGAAAGAACAGGAGTTGAAGAAGAATCTCCCTCTTTTCTTTTCTTTTTTTCTGAGATGGAGTTTCACTCTTGTCACCCAGGCTGGAGTGCAATAGCACAATTTCGGCTCACTGCAACCTCCCCCTCCCATGTTCAAGTGATTCTCCTGCCTCAGTCTCCGGTAACTGGGATTATGAGTGTGCACCACCACACTCAGCTAATTTTTGTATTTTTAGCAGAGATAGGGTTTCACTATGATGTCCAGGCTGGTCTTGAACTCCTGACCTCAGGTGATCCACCCACCCTGGCCTCCCAAAGTGCTGGGATTACAGGTGTGAGTCACTGAAGTCACTGAGCCCAGCCTTTCTTTCTTTTTCTTTTTTCTTTTTCTTTTTTTTAAAGAGATAGGAGGATAGTGCTCTGTCACCCAGGCTAAAGTGCTATGGAACGATCACAGCTCACTGCAGCCTTGAACTCCTGGGCTCAAAAGATTCTCCTGCCGCAGCCTTCCGAGAAGCTAGGGCTACAGGCATGTACCACCATGCTCGGCTAGTTTTTTTTATTTTTCATTTTATTAGAGATAGGGTCTCGCTATGCTGCCCAGGACACTCTTGAGCTCCCGGCCTCAGTTAATCCTCCTATCTCAGCCTCCTGAGTTGCTGACATTACAGGTATAAGCCACTGAACCTGGCTCAAGAATCTAATATTTTTATAAGTCATGAGCAAAAAAGCATGTGGGAGGGTAAAGAAGTACATGAGTGTACACGTGTTGTGTGGTGAGACAGAACGGTGTAAACTGCCTAATTTAGGGAGGCTTGTTTTCCGACCAAACCTCAAAGTAACAGGCTATTCACATAGATAACTTGTATGGTCACAGCTGCTTGGGAAATACTCAAATACAAGAAATGTTGGAGGGAGGAGCTGCAGACAGAACAATACCAGGTACAAAGCTGGGAGTGAGAGCAGAGGCCACGTCTATGTAAGGTGGACAGCTGTGCAAAAAGCTGCTTGGACTCCCAGGATTCTCACAGGGAGGGAAGGTTCCCAGTGACTCAGTGGGTCTTCAGGTGCCATCACAATGACGGACATCACTTACATTTGTAGAGCTTAATATCAAATATTTTCATTCATTATTCAAAAACCCCTGGGTTTGGGAATACTAACACAGTTTAACAGAATGAAGATCAGAGACTACGAGAATGTGTGACTTGCCCAAAGTCACAGATTAGACATGGTAGAGCCTGGACTTGTCTTTGAAGTTCTCTCTGTATCTGTCTAGGGGTCTGCCTATCTCCATCAATAAAGGAATATGAGTCTTCACATAGACATGGTCCCAGGGACAATGGTAATGTTATCAGACAGGTTAGCACTGGAAAGAACCTCATATCTTATGTAATTCAGCCTTCTCATTTATGAATGAAGAAACCAGCTCCAGAAAGTTAAGGTAACTTGCCAAAGATCTCACAGCAAGTAAGCAAGAGAGCTAGCTAGCTGATACTAAGACTCAGATATTTGACCACACTAGAGATTAATTCTTCTGGTTTAACTAAAGTTTTGATTGCCTAAAAACGAAAGGACTCTTAGAAGAGGTCACATCTAAAGCTATTACTGGTCATTTTTGGCCATTGTAAATGAAGAACTTGAGAAAAGGATATAATGGGAGGCGCAAGAAAGGCTATAGGATGCTGACAGTCTATAACTCATGGAGCCTGGAGGCCTTCCATCTGCATCAAGGGCTGGCCCTGATATCCTTTGTTCTATAAATTCTGTCCTTTCTCTTACAGTTTAATAGAAACACACTGAAGCCAAGTATCATGATGGGGCATGGAGAAGAACAGCACAGAGAAGAGAGTGGTGAATGTAGGAAACTGTAGAAGTGTTTCTTAAGATCCAAAAACATCAAACTTCACATCAGCATATCGTGACTTAGTGCTGTCTAATGAACAAAGATCTTTTTTCCCCATGAGTGATGAGAAGTAGCTTCTTTGGATGCAAAGGCAAAAGCTATTCTTCTGGGACAGTACATACCTGAAATGTACAAAGACTGACACTGTTATTCTCAATTATTTAAGGGGACAGACCAACGAAACCCCCAAATTATTTATAAATTGTATTTTAGAAATGATTTAATCTTCCTAAGAAATGTTTGTGAAAAGCAGTCGACAATTCTGAAGAGAAGAAAATGGTCCAGTTTTGCATTAGTTTTTGTTTGTTTGGTTTGTTTTGTTTTGTTTTTGAGACGGAGTTTCACTCTTGTTGCCCAGGCTGGAGTGCAATGGCACGATCTCGGCTCACTGCAATCTCCACT